TTCAGTTAATTCAAGTGATGGAACAAGACCCAAAGAGTCGAAATAGATTTTGCGGTGTTTTTGCCGCGGATACCCTTCCAGCCACAATCCCGCAATTCCCGTGCGGTTTGATTTDTAATTCCGCACCTCACCAGGAAAAAGGGACGCATTGGCTTGCGGTATACTTTTCATCAGATCAAGAAGGGGAATTTTTCGATTCTTATGGAAACCMAMCAGACTTTTATCGTGAAAGCTTCAAAACATTTATGGATGATCATGCAAAGACTTGGAAGTATAACCATCGATGTTTGCAAAGTTTGTCTTCAAGCACATGYGGGCAGTTTTGTTTGTACTTTATCATGAACAGAAACCGTGGTAAATCGTTATCTACGATTGTTAATTCGTTTAGTAAAAATAAATCAATTAATGATCACCGTGTAAGCATGTTTGTTCGTAGATATCTCAAGCTTTCAAAACCAAAAAATGGTAACAAAGATGATCATCAGATAGCAGTTTCTTTCGTTAAAAATAAACAAGAAAAAAGGAAAAAAAACAGTAAGCTTGTCATATTAAGTTAATGTGTTTTATTCAAATAAAGAAAAAAATAATCACACATGAAAAAATAGTCAGTGTTCTAATATGTAATCCAGTTTGGTGAATAAAGTTTGGTCTTGGACAGTCTAGACGAACGAGTCTTGGACGTTCTCGGTGTTGTTGGTGGAGTTGGAGGAAAAGTATACTTGCGACCTTCTTCTTCAATTAAACTAGGAGTTTCTTGATTGTTAAGCAGTGATAAGTAGTTTCGGCGTTTCTCGTTGCGCATCAGGTATTTTGGCATGTTTATCTTATCCAGTGATTCTGTAAACGTTTTCCACCCAGTTGGATTTAAGCTGATCATTCATTAATCAAGTCAATGATGTTGGAACCCGACACTGGGGTTCCATCAACAACCATTTCACCTTTGTTGTTCCATGTTAACTGATCTCTGTTGGCTTTCAAACGATTGATCATACTTTGTGCGAGACTTCTTGAGCTCTTCGGAATGGATTCTAGAATCTCGTTCTCTGATAATGAAGATTGTTTTTCGTCGGTAGGATTTGTCTGGACTTGATTATCACTCGATGATRATGATGATGCAGACGCAAG